TATTATTATTATTATTATTATTATTATTATTATTATTATTGCTGGAATTGACATCTAGATCAGAGTAGACTTGAGTCAGCATGAACCATCCAGTTTTGGAGCCAGATATTTGGTCCCAATCCCCTCCCACTCTGGAAAGATTGTTGGAAACCAAGATTAAATTTTTCATAAGAGATATATGTCATGTTTCAGGGCTCTCACCCAATAATGAGGACAGAGTTTAATCAAACAACCTCAGGATGTGGATGCAAGCCAGAGTCCATAATAATCATGGGCATTCACCATCACACTATAATGACAGGTTTTCATCTAGAGCAGTGGGTCTCCAGATGTTTTGACCTTCAAGTCCCAGAAATCCTAACAGCTAGTAAACTGGCTGGGAATTTTGGGAGTTGTAGGCCAAAACACCTGAGGACCCACAGGTTGAGAACCACTGATCTAGTGACTACTGAAATTATGGCTATACTTTTGACTATTGAGATGACTTCAGTCTTCTGCATTTCTCTCCATATTACGCTACTGAGTTGGAATTCTGCTATACTGATCTCTGTACCATCCATTGCGGTATCGAGTTGAATTAATTCACTCTTACTAGGACTCTCCTACAGTAAGGTCACTGCCAGACCACACTCATCTTCACTAGTTCTGGTATCGGCAATGGCTGTGGGAGGAATGCCACCTTTGAAATGGGCAGCTAGAGTGTTCCAATCAGACTCTTACCTGGAGTCCATTGAATCAGATGTGGAGTTGGACTCTTTTTCAGCATCTCCTGACCTCCTGGTTTTTGAACCTCTTCCAACATTGATGGGGGAACATAATCGGGTTTGTTGATGATGATTTATTTATTTATGACATTTCTACCCCACCTTTCTCCAGCCCGGAGGAGACTCAAGGCAGCTTTACAGCCTGGCAGCCATTCAATGCCTTCAACAATATGCCACTAAAAACAACATTTAAAGCAGAATTATAAAATACTTAGATCAAGGCCTTTAAAAACATAAAAACAATACCATCACTGTTAGCCTCGTTATCCAAAGTCATCGTAAATTATCTGTCATTTACTGACAATTACTTTGGATGGCCAGGCAAGGACACAAGAGGATCCTTCTGAGTGGCTACTCCCACTCTCTGAAAAGCCCTTCCATAGAAGATTGGGTTGTGGCCTCCCACCCCCCACCCCAATTTCTTTTTCTGGCAAGCAAAGATACTTTTATAGCAGGTTAGGGCTGTTGATTTTATTGGGAAGCCCCCCCCCACATTATGTATGTTTTCACATTGATTTTAAAACATTTAATGAAGTGATGTAAATTGCCTTAACATTTTTAATTTATAATAATAATAATATGAGGGGTATTTTTTAAGTAAGGTCCGTTTTGTTGTAGACACTAGTAGTTCGCGCGCATACCGCAACGAGCGCGTGCGTCGTGTACCGGCATGCCTCGGGAACAACTGTGCTCAGTTTCCGCTCTGTAGCTAACCTGTACGGTTCTGTTCTGTGCTTTAAAAATGTTTAAGACTATCAACTCACCCTCCGCATGTGAGGTTTGCTCAGTGATACGGTTTTTGTCAGCAAGGAACCTGCCTGCTGCAGAAATTCATCGACAGATTTGTGAAGTGTACGGTGATACTGTTATGAGTGAAAGCAAAGTGCGTAAGTGGGTACGACAATTCAAAGATGGCCGTGACAACGTCCATGATGAGGACCGCTCCGGTCGCCCTTCTTTGATTACAGACTATTTGGTGGCTTCAGTTGAAGCGAGGATTCGTGAAGAGGGTATTTTAAAGTTGGTTCAGAGGTATGGTAAGTGTTTGAACAAACTTGGCAACTATGTCAAAAAATAGAATGAAGTATGTTCTTTCTGAAAATAAATCTAGTTTTTTGAAATAAACTTTCGTTGTGTACTTATGTTCAAACGGACCTTACTTAAAAAATACCCCTCGTAGCAATATTTGAGAATTTATCAATTCCCTTGTGACTGAGTGTTTAGTTATGAGAATGTTGCAAGCTCACTACAGACCTCACCCCTTGTGCAAAGGACTGCAAATGTGTCTCATTTTTCCATAATTATGAATATAAAGAAATCGTCCCTGTGTTTTATATTTTGGTAACAAGTTGCCTTGATACAGCGTGAGCAAATTTCTTTACTTTCAGAATCTGCCTGATAGAAATTCTAAATGGCAATTAAAATCACTTTTAGCAGGGTTCATTCTATCATACTGGGAGCTGTTTGTTTTCTTAGCGTCAGAAATCGATAAAATTGCTTTGGGGGAAAACAAAGAACTGTGCAACGAAGAAAGAAGAAAAAGTTACAGTCAGAACTAGAAGTTTGTACAGGCTCACACTGAATTATTGAGCAACCTAATTTTCAGACTTCAAAAATCTATCAGAACCCAGATAGCTGCATTTCAATGTCAGATTTAAATTATTATCTTAGAAGAAAACATCTACAATTCATATTTTCAAAGCTTTAATTAATTGCTATTGACGTGTTTTTTCTCTCTCGTTTTGACTTTGTTGTTATAATACATATTCACTCCAGAAAATAAGGGAAAGTGGAAAGGTGGAACAGTTTAGGGCTTTAAAAAGCAGCCATGGTAGAAGAATGGATATGATAGAAATGTATTAAAACTATGATCAGCGTGGCTGGAGGAAGAGAGTAACTATTCCCCTCCAAAATGTCTGAAGACAATAAAATTAGTTAGCAGTAATTTCAGTATTACCAAAGAAAATACTTTTTAACACAACATTTCATGGGAAATGGACTACTCAGAGATATTCTGATGGAGGCTGCTACTTCTAAGGCAAAAAAAACCAGCCCAAAAAAATTCTAGGTCAATTTATTTACAAGTCATTATGAGTTTTGTAGCTTCACCTCTATCAAAAATGAATCCTCACCTCTTCTTAGTATAGTGGTGAAAGGCAAGAATTTGGTCACAGGAGAACTGAGAGAAGTATAGACTCCTCCTACTCTTTTCGCCTTGAAGCCACTTTGGGCCTTTTTGAATACTTGGGTAGAGAAATAGCAGAGGTGGTTGGCCTCCCGTGGTGCTTTCCCATTTCTGCGGAATAACTCTCGACTTATCCACAGGTCATATAAAAATACATAATTTTAGTCTCAAATCCTGCTCTCAAGTAATACATAAGCTCAATTTATACCAGTGGTTCTCAACCTGTGAGTCCCCAGATGTTTTGGCCCTCAACTCCCAGAAATCCTAACAGCTAGTAAACTGGCTACCTGTCTACCATGTCAATGGGCAAAAGACCCCATAATAATAATAACAAAAGCAGTAGCAACAACAACAACACTTTATTTGTATTCCGCCCAATCTTCCCAGGGGGACTCGGTGGATTCCAGCATATACAGACATAAACAGACACAAGGCAAACATTTAATACCTCGAAACAATGAAACACAGATATACGGATAGAGGTAAAGGCTTCTCCTTCATCTCCAGCCCTGGGGGTGGTGCTCATCTTCATTTCAAAGCTGAAGAAGCCTCTGTTTGTTGGAGCTCAGCCTGTGATTGTGTTTCAGGATCAGGGTGCTTTGGATGTGGGGAGTGATGTCATTGAGTTGTAAGATGAGTTTCAAGATGGCAATGGTTTGGTCAATGATACTAATGCAGAGAATGACTAGGAGATCCCTGTTCAAAGTGTAGTTTCCCATGAGAATGTCCCTGAGGGGTGTGGGGATGATGGTGTGCTTTCTGAATTGTTACCAAAGAGTTCCCATGATAGGGAACATGAAAACAGCTTGGCACCTGGCCCAGCTGCAAAATTTAATGAGCAAATAGATAGAAGGAGGTCAGTCAAAACAGGAGAACAGAACATTGGCTTCGGCGTTCTGCCAGGCTCCGAGAGAAAAAGATAAGAACATAGCTAACGAGGAGATAAAAGTCCCAAATACAGTATATGTAGTCAGATGGAATCAAGTCAAGATCTTGTCCTTGTTTCATGGAAGCTTTGCTTGGAAAATTCATGCTTCAAGTGCCTTGTTTCATGGTTTTGATTCTTGGATTCTATGTTTTTATATTCATGCCTTGGATTCATGTTTTCTCCTCCAAAGAAGGAGCCTCCACTACACTCTGGGGCAGAGAGTTCCACTACTGAACCGCTCTCACAGTATAACCCAGAATATCAAAGCAAAAAATCCCATTTCTGCTTTGAACTGGGTTATCTGAGTCCACACTGTCATATATTCCAATTCAAACCAGATTTGAGATTTTATTCAGCTGTGTGGAAAGGGCCTAATATCCCATCTACACTGCCATATAATATGGTTTGGAACTGCATTATATGGTCAGTGTAGACTCATATAATGCAGCTCAGTGCAATTAAACTATATCATATGGCAGTATAGATTGGGCCTTAGTATTCAAGGAGCCCCAGTGGCACAATGGGTTAAACCCTTGTACTAGCAGGACTGAAGATCAACAGGTTGGAGATTCAAATCCGGGGAGAGCACGGATGAGCTCCTTCTGTCAGCTGCAGCTCCCCTTGTGGGGACATGAGAGAAATCTCCCACAAGGATGGTAAAACATCAAACATCTGGGCATCCCCTGGGCAAAGTCCTTGCAGATGGCCAATTCTCTTGCATCAGAAGCTACTTGCAGTTTCTCAAGTTGCTCCTGACACGAAAAAAAAAGTGTTCAAAGAGCAAAAATGTGCTAGAAATATTTCAAACAAGTGCTTGGTTAGGACATGGTGGATTTTTGTAGCTACACATTTTTAGCACACCAATGAATTCATGACTGCAGTTGTATGCATTTCCTGACTTTTATTAGGACTATAAACCAATTTAAAATGCAATTGGTTAAATGTTTGAACATTAATTAATTCATTAGGCGATTTGAATAAGACTTAAATCTCCATATTAGGTTTAGAATTACATTAAGATGCTAATGTTTAGATATGAAAAGGGGAATAGGAAGAACATCATAGTTCACAAGGAGCAAGAAACACTTTGAACTGGAATATGTGGATACCAACTAATATAGTGCCACAGAATTCCTAGGTGATCTCGGATTTAGACACTTCTGTTTGCTCCCATGGTTGACAGTTCTCTTCCTTTGGATTTCTCCCAACTTTGAGCAGAAGAGGTGGCCCTTCCTTCCTTTCTAGGTTGGTGCTGTCCAAAGGAAGAGAACCCACTGAGTGGTGGTTTCTCGTTTATGGAATTTCCTTCCCAGAAATCCAGCTAATGCTATTATTATCATTTTTAAATTATAGACAAAGAAAAGATGGAGAACATGTAGCTGTCTTCCAGTTAAACCATGAAAGTTGTGATAGAAAAGTATTGACCTACACTTCAAACACTAAGTAAAACACTAGAACTTAAGCATTAAAAGTGCAAAAATCCATGAACGACTCAATCAAACCCATTAAAGCCTGTCAGTGTCTTTTAGCCCCAAGTGTTGGAAAATAATTGGATTTTTTAAAGTCCCTTTTTTCCTTCTTTAAACTGATACAATATATTTTGCTTTTTAAAACTACCTTGGAGACTCAACTTGTAAGGCAACATACGTATAATTGGCCAGGGAATCAATCATCCAAAGCTTGAAAATATTATCTTCACCCACTTCCAAAATATACAAAAAGTACACCTTGATTTTGCCATTTTAAGTTAGGGACACTTTAGATTTTTTCTCTCCAGAATCTGGAGAGAAAAATTGAAATACTGCTACGCTATTGACTTAAAGGAAAATTGGCTGAAGACAGCTCATCGTTGGTATATGACGCCAAAAAAATTAGGGAAAGGTAATAGAAATATCAGCACAAAGTGTTGGAAGTGTAAAGAAATAGAAGGATCATATTTTCATATCTGGTGGTCCTGGAAGAAGGCAAAAGAGTATTGGAAAGGAGTTTAGAAAGAATTACAGGAAATTTTACAGATTAGAATTCCATGGAAGGCAGAACTATTTTTGTTAGGAATGCATGACCTAAAAATAGAAAAAAACTCAGATAAAATTCTTTTCCTGATAACAACAGCAGCAAGGATTTGCTACGCCAGGAGGTGGAAACAAAAGGAAATACCGGACGAAAACGAGAGACTGACTAAAGTTCTGGAAATCATGAATATGGACAGACTTACTTTTTTAATAACAAGAAGCAGAGGAATGAATATGAAAGAAACGAACTGGGAAAAAGTAAAGGAATACTTTAAGCAAAAGAACAAAAAGATTCTGATCTAATGAAGGAGGAGATGGAGGGAAGGAAGAGAAAAAAGGAAGAACATGAGGAGAGAAGAAGAAGAGAAAGATTACGCAAAGTGTGATAGAGTAGACCTCCAGAAGACCCCAGGAAGTCGAAAACAACAGCTTTCTCTTGTTTTTTTTAACTTGGCTTGGGGTACTTTAAATCTTTTTTTTCCCTCTTCTTCTCTTTCTTTCCTCTTTTCCCTCCCCTCTCACACATCACTGTTTTCCTTTACTTTCTATTTCGGGGTGATACTAATTTTCTACACATTGCACTTTCTTCTTGTAGCCTGGGTTACACATCTCTATCTTTTTAAAATGTAAACTGGAAACTTAATAAAGATTATATATATATATATAAAAAGTTAGGGATACTTTAATATTCCACTGTATGCAGACATGTAGCCGGGGCGGGGGGGGGGGGGGGGTTGAGGGGCTTCAGCCCCCCCCCTGAAATTCTCAGGGTGGTCCACGAGAAGGCCTTACTGGTACATTATTTAAACTGTTATGTTTATTCATATCATGATCTGATCACCATGCTCAATATATCCCATATGCATGGGGCTATTGGGATAATGATACAAAAGGTTTGCTAGGGTAGATCCTCAGCCCCCCCCCCCTTTGAATCAAACTCCCCTCCCCCCAAATCAAACTCAGCATCCCCCGAATCAAAATCCTGGCTACGGGCCTGACTGTATGTAATGGGACTTCAACGCTCACAGATTTTAAATGGACAGGAACCCAAACCCAGTGAATACAAAAGTCTCACTGCAAATTTTCCAGATAAATATTGAATATTCTTGATACATAGACTTACACTGTGTTGCAAGGAAGCATTTCCTTTTAAGTATGTGTGTAACTTTGTCGTGCTGGCAGTTTTTTGACAGCTTTTTTTCTTTTTTCCAGCTGTATTGAGAGCATGTGCTGATGGAGGTGCTAATCACTTGTATCGCATCACAGAAGGAAATCGTGAAAGGTACTTTCATGACAATTTGTATTGATCATTTTCCCACTTTTATCTTCACAAAGCATTTTGAAGAGCTTGTATTCACACTTTTGGAGCGTTCCCTGCACTCATTTGTATTTTATCAGAAGTGCAAATTACATACAATATGGCAGTTACTGCCATAAATTGCACCATCTCAACAAGTTTTTCTCCTTTCTCTCATAACTTGTGTAGTCACTTATCTGGTGTCCTGATGTCAAAAAAATTGCTTCCCATTTTCATCCATACCAGTCAGTAAATGGGCAAAGAAACAGGCAACATGATCAAATCAAAATACGGAAAAGTATTGCTGCATGACATACAGAATCACTCTATTCGAAGCTCTTTAAAATCATTACACTTCTTCCTGAGCATTGTCCTGTATTAACAAAATCCAGAACAGATCTAGGAAAATGTTGTACCCCTCCAAATGTTGTTAAATTCCAGTTCTAATCAGATCCAACTTCCCTGACCAGTGGTGAGAGATGATAGAAGCTGTAATTCCTCACCATCTATATCAGGGATCCACAAACTTTTTAAACAGAGGGCCACGTCACAGTCCCTCAAACTGTTGGAGGGCCGGATTATAATTTGAAAAAAACAAAAAAACAACAAAACATGAATTCCTATGCATGCTGCACATATCTTATTTGTAGTGTAAAAAACACTGAAAAACAATACAATAATTAAAATGAGTAACAATGTTAACAAATACAAACTTATTAGTATTTTAATGGGAAATGTGGGCCTGTTTTTGGTTGATGAGATAGGATTGTTGTTGTCGTTATGTACTTTCAAGTCGTTTCAGACTTAGGTTGACCCTGAGCGAGGGCCGGGTATATGACCTTGGAGGACCGCATCCGGCCCCCGGGCCTTAGTTTGAGGACCCTGATCTATATGATCATAGTTTTTCCAGTCCTGGCATCATAGACACTCAAGAGATAACCTTATTAGAAAGACTCAACTAGTTAGAAACTTTATTTGTTTATTTATTTATTTCCAGTAATTCTACCCCGTCCTTCTCAACCCCCGAAGGGGGACTCAATACAGCTTACATTTGGTACAGTTTGATGCCATTAAATATAACAAAACAATATAACAACAATTAAAACAATAAATAGGACATTAATTAAAACAATAAAAACAGTATTAACCTCAGTATGACCATTCCAGTCAAACTCCATATCCAAAGCGCTATTTATGCCTGCTGTCCAAAAGCCTGGTCCCAGAACCACGACTTCAATTTTAGAAAGACAGGAGGGATGAAGCCCATCTTACCTCGTTGGGAAGCGAGTTCCACAGGTGGGGGACTACAGCCGGGAAGGCCCTGTCTCTCGTCCTCACTTAGACGTATTTGCAACGCTGGTGGGAGCGAAAGCAGGGTTTCCCCGGATTATTTATTTATTTATTTATTTACTGTATTTGTATACAGCCTATTGGCGACTCAAGGCGGTTTCCAACAAAACAGTATACACAGTATCATAGAACAATTTAAAACATTACAATTACATAAACCACAACAACAATAAAACAACATCATTAGCGTCTCCTTATTGTCAAGCATTGTCCAGTTCCATTGTCAGTCGTCCATTCCTATATCATTTATCCATATCCGTTACTCTGTGTTTAAGAACGCTTGCTCAAACAGCCATGTTTTGACTTGATTCCGAAACGTGAGGAGGGAGGGAGCAGATCTAATCTCTCTAGGGAGGGTGTTCCATAGCCGGGGGGGGGGGGGGGCACAGCTGAGAAGGCCCTGTCTCTTGTCTCTGCCAATCTCGTCCCGTCCCCGGATGATCTTAAACTGCAAGGCAGGATGTAGAGGGAGATGCGTTCAGATAAGTAAACTGGGCCAAAACCGTATAGAGCTTTATAGGTCAAAACCAGCACTTTGAATTGAGTTCGGAAGCGGATTGGCAGCCAGTGGAGCTGACCTAACAAGATGGTGGTGTGCTCCCTTGCTGTAACATTGTGATGTTACAGCATGTAACATTTACAAAATGAATATTTATGCCCAATACACAACAGATTTATTCCAGGACTTTTCATGTAATACAATTTTCATATGTAAACTGAACCATATTTTTTATGTGAAATCAACTATGTCTTGGGGTTGTGCCAAAGCATAAGTTGTGTACTTGGCAAGTAAGGGCATACAGTGTAACAAGCAGGCCTGCTGGATTTAATTAGTTATCTTTAAATAAGTGTTTTCTTCTTTTAGAATTGGGACAGCAGCATAATTATCTTTTTCATGATTCTTTTGCTCTTCAGAAATAGATGCTTCTCGCTTTTTACAGTCTCACTCTTTCCTACTTTAATCTTTATAAAATGAGACAGTAACTGATGGGCTTAAGGCACAAGGAGAAAATATAGTAAATGACGAGAGGGAAATTTGCAAAATTCTGTTTCTAAGCCTGGCTCTTAACTGCTAAATGATTTTCTTTTTCCATGCTAACCCTTTAATATTTAAATCCCCATAGAAGAGTACAGATGAGGTATCACAGTATGTATCATCCTAGAACTCAGTTTTGCATAATAGCTCTCAATGTAGCAATGATGTGAATGATTTGTGTAAAAGAAATATGGTTGCTATACCCCCCCCCCTCATTTAACAATGTAGTACGTCTGTAATATTGCACCACTAAAATAACTGATTTTTTAAAAAAAGTTTTGTTTATTGTAGTTTTAACATATTCAGTGTTTAAACATTCTTATACTTATCACTTCCCCTTAACAAATGGTACAGAACATGTATGTCTTAATGCCTATAATATTCATGCTCCCGCTTCATTACATATTGTCCAATCACCCAGTGCTGACCCTTCACCCCAGACCAGCCAATTACAGTACTTATTTCCAAAAATCAGTTGTTTCTATTACAGGTTTGTTCCCCTTACCTTCTATGTATACATATTCTATCAATTTTTCCCAAATCTTCCCAAAATCATCTCTCTTTTTTTTGATAATCCTCTTTTAACCTTTATGTTTCCTGACAATATCCCAGATCTCCATATACCACTCTTCCAATTGGCACTCCCTTCCTTCTCTCCATTTTTTAGCTATTAATAATCTTGCTGCTGTAATCAGATTGGTAATTAATTCTTTTAATTCTTTTGGTATTTTAACATTATCAATAAATGACAACAGTGCTATATCCGGTGTTCCTGTTATCTCTGTTTGGGTGATTCTTCTTATTTCTTGAAATACATTTTCCCAAAAAAATATGAACGTATTTACAAGACTACCACATGTGTATATACTGTATTTCAGTATATACACATGGACAATTTCAACAGAAAGGAGGAAACCATGAAAATGAACAAAATCTGGCTACCAGTATTAAAAAACTCTAAAATTACAACGGCACAACAACAGAGAGGAAACAAACAAGGACATCTAATCACCTCTCAACAAAAGTTTGCTCTAGGCAATGTCAGGCCGCTAATCAAGGTGGTCAGTTGAAAGATTCACACCTAGCTCCAGCAGACAAGAGTCCTTTGTCCCATCCTGGTCATTCCACAGATATATAAATCCTTTTTCCTAGTTCCAACAGACCTCACTACCTCTGAGGATGCTTTCCATAGATGCAGGCAAAACGTCAGGAGAGAATGCCTCTAGACCATGGCCATATAGCCCGAAAAAACCTACAACATCCCAGTGATTCCGGCCATGAAAGCCTTCGACAATACACATATACTGTATGTACCAGTTTCTTGACAACCCCTCCAGTACTGCTTAGAGTATTTCTTATCAATTTGATTTAATCTGATTGGTGTGAGATACCATCTCCACACCACTCCGTAATAATTCTCTTTTATTCTTATTGACATATTTTTAATATATGCATATTCCACATTCCTTTCCAGTTCTGAGGGTGTATTACTTTATTACAATCTGACTCCCACATTCTTTTGAGCTAGTCCTACTCCTGGACTCCCTCCAACAGCATTTTGTAGCTATCATTTGTTATACCTTTGTTCTTTCTTTTTCTTCCTTACTGCCCCTTAGGCTAATAATTTCTTCAAATTTGGTACGTTCTCTCTCTCCTTTATATTTCTTTCTTATTTCCCTTAACCATCTTTCCAGTTGTAGAACTTTATACCATCTAATACTTCCTCCTGATAACTGGTCCTTTATCCCTCTATATTTTTCATCTTTGATTCCCAATCTTTTAATTTCGTTATTCCTTTTTCCTTGAATTCTCTTTCTAACTCCTTTTTGAGATTTATAGGGAAATTATTTGTAATCAACACCGGACTGAATTTTATTTTTAATTCTCCAAAAGCTCCACCTTTTGAAATTTTCAGAACATGACTTTTTCCATATTGCATCATTTTAGCATTAGCTATGACTTTTGAAAAGACTACTCATTAGTCCATGTTTTATGAGTTTATTAATAACCGTTATGGCCATGTTCCTTTTTCAAATATTATGATTTAACAAATATATAAGAAATAATAGATAAAAATGCCCAAAATGTTTTATTTTACTAAACATGGAATGGTGATACTCTTGATTAAAGGACTTCACAAAAAAGAATTTACCATTTTTAACCCCCAAAGTAATACATTACAGGTAACATTGTGTTGACAGTTACATTTCCAAGCTCTAGACCAGTGGTTTTCAACCAGTGGGTCCCCAGATGTTTTGGCCTACAACTCCCAGAAATCCCAGCCAGTTTAGCAGCCGTTAGGATTTCCGGGAGTTGAAGACCAAAACATATGGGCACCCACACGTTGAGAACCACTACCCGAGACAGTCCGGTTTTGTACTGAGCAAATTTATAGTAGGTCTGCAGTCCATGCATTCTACATCCACATGTTCAACCAACTATGATTGAATTATTTTTTAAAAAAATCTGAAAAGCAATCCTTGACTTTGCTGTGCACCAAACACTGTGCTTGTATGTAGTCATGCACTCCTGCCATTTCATAGATAGTCAGGCTCTTTTGATACTTGATTGAGTTGAGCTGGTAAATGCCAAGGGCCCA